GTTTCGATACTTGAAAACCATTTGATATAAATCCTTACCGCCTAAAAAATAAAATAAAATAAAAATTCACTTCATATAAAAAATTATAATTCATTGGCTCTAGCGTCATTCACCATATAATCCAAACCAAATCCAATCTGATTTCATTGCAAACCTCCCCTTGACCCATCGTATTTGATTCTGACTGGGGAGAATTCAATGTCACATTTTTGGAATATTAGAGAGTAAAATGGCATGTGGGTCAACGAGTTGAGGCAACTCAGCACTTGATGACTTTTATCTTATGGATGCATGGGAAGATGACAAATGGCATCAAACCCCATCCCCCGCCAGTTGGTTGCTGAGCTTCGACTGCTCAGTTGAAAACTACAAAATATAAAGCACGAGATATTATTCAATCTTCTCTACCAAACATGTCATAAGTTTCTTTCCGATCCTTAACCCTATCAAATAATATTCAATTTTCCTGTACGAGGAAGTATGTAAACAACGTCACATTGGATACAACCTCATTTATTGTAAACCCATGACATGTAAAACGACACACAGACAGCTTCAGTCTTCCTAAGAATTACTACAAAACCCTGCCATACAAGAAAGTACGGTACTTTTTGAATTGCAAAGGGCCTTGTATGATGAATAAAAACCCTAAAAGAGAGGTAGATTCGCTGGGAATCGAACGTTCATCCATAGTTTCTCGTAAGACACCAAATGGTACCATCCTATTTGCTCTAGCAATGAAATCTTCATTTCATATAGATTCCTTTTTGGAGGATGTTCATCTTGGATCATGTCGTTTAACACCTGTTTCAACAAAGTTGGTCAGCAAAAGACTAAGAGTAGGACTTTTTCCCATATTTTTCATGACAGACCTTAAAGCAAATTATAACGAATCAATCTTAAAAGCCAAGCCAACAGCTTCGGAAAGGATTATGACATAAATCAAAGTCACCTTTAGTGCAGTTCCAAGCCTTCCTTTACGTCTCTCGTGTGTAACTAAGAGTGTGCCGTATCTGGAGGATTTTACATCCACCCATTTTTTGAGTTCTTTGAAGTTCTCTTCAAACAAATCTGGTTGGACATGAGAATCGGAAGCAGCTTCAGCATCCTCCTCATCAGTGAGTTTCTCACCCTGTCACGACAATCATCATGATTAGATACACTCAAGGGATTTAACTGGAAATGCCATGACTTGAGAAAGTGCTTAGCTACAACGCACAAACCAAACCAGCACTACCAAACACCAAACTACGCGCTACTTTAGCTAGACATACATATTATTCTTTTATATTAAGTAGTTTAGTGCAAC